GAAAGAGTTTACATCTAGGGGAGTGAAGAACTCTCAGATGTTTCCGTTCTGAGCAGTCCCAGCGGCTTCAGGAGGAGGAAGTGAGCTGTCTCCTCCTTGGCTGGGGACCCCGCCAGGGCACTGGGCTCCCAGCCAGCCAGGGCCTGGGAGGAGCTGCTGAAAACCTCCCCCTTAATGGGAACAGCCTGGGCCCTGGTGTCTCACCGGGATGGAGCCCCAGTTAGGGGGAAAGGCAGCTGTTTTATTAGTGGCAGACCATGGAAACCAGGTGGTGCTGCTCAGAGCAGAGTTCTCTGACTGCCGGACCAGCCTGTCTCAAATGGAAACTCAATTCCTGCTTGAATTGCCTGGGGCTCTTGTTAAAATGCAGATTCCATCACACACCATCTGGAGTGGAGCCTGGACTTTGCATTTCTAACTATTCTCAGGTGATTCTGATCTTGCTGGTCTGTGGACCCCATTTGGTGTAAACACATCTTTTTTTGTGTACATACATTTCTGTATTTTTCCTGCAGCTTTTCCTATTTTTTGTTTGTTTTGTTTTTAATTCAAAAAGTACTAAGGGTTAAATAGTGAAAAGTCTCCTCATGTCCCTGTCCCCAGCAACCCAGCAATCCCTTCCCGTGGCCAACCAATGTCGTTGGCTTTGTGTACATCCTTTTAGAGATGTTTTATGAATACATGAGCAAATATATATATGCTCTTCTTCCCCTCTGCCCTGTTCTGGTTATTATCTGATGTGTAGTGGTCTGCATCTTGCTTTTTTACCTTCACACTAGATTGCACTAGCTCCTTCTTTCTTTTTTGTAAAGTTGCCCAGTTTTGTTATATACCATAACTTACCTAGCAAAATCCCTTGTTGGTGGACGCTTGGTTGTGTCCAATCCTTTGTTCTTGTGCAATAAATACCTTAGTATGCTATCACTTCGCTCAGGCATGAGTCTATCCGGAAGATAAAGGTCTACAAGTGGAAATGCAGGGTCAAATGGTATGTGCGTTTGTAATTCTGACGAATATTGCCAAACTGACCTCCTAGAAGAGGTTGCGCTAACAATGTGAGAGGCTGTTTCCCTTACTCTCCCAATTCCGCTGTTAACAAACTTTTTGATCTTTGCCAATCTGATATGTAAAAAAATGGTAGCTGCTGTTTTTGAAATGCTTTTCCCAGCTTCCATTGTTCTCCCCAACAATTTATTTGTCAGGGAGTCATTGCATTCTTTGCCTCTGTGCCAGCCAGCTTACCAGGTGCTGGGATTCCAAGGGAGACCAAACGCTAATCAGCCCTACCCTTTCCTCTAGAAGAGAGGACAAACCATCAGTTAGCCAAAGATGAGCAGTGGGCAGGATGAGCACTATGATTAGGAGGTGACTTCTTAAGAGAGCACTTCTCAAACTTCTATGTACACAAGCATCAGCTGACGTCCTTGTAAAAATACGGATTCTGATTCAGTCGGTCTCAGTGGAGTGATTCTGTAGTTCTAACAAGCTCCTGGGCGAAGCTGTGGCTGGTGGTCCAGGGATCTACCTAGAACAAGAGTTAGCAAACTTTTTCTTCAAAGGCCCAGATAGTAAATGTTTCAGGCTTTGTGGGTGACATGTGGGTCTGTTGTGGCTCTTCAACTGTGACTTTGAAAGCAGCTATACAGCCTGTAAGTAGATGAACGTGGCTGTGTTCCAAGAAAACTTTTTTTACGAAATAGTCAGTGGGCTGTGTTTGCTGACCCTGGGCCTAGAATACCATAGGCATCCAATAACCTACTGAAGCGATGAGTGAAAGGGGCCTGTTTGAGCAGTAGCAGGTGCCTGAGCTAATCTAGGGGTCAGTGTCCTACCAGGAAAACAAAAGCCAGTGTTTAAACAGAGGTAATTAAATGCAGGGAATCGGTTACTCAGGTAATTGAAGAGCTGAGAAGTCAGCCAAGGACAACCCAGAGATTAGCAACAGCAGAAAGCTGTTGCTACCCTGGGGAGGAAGAGGAGGAGAGAGAAAGTCAGGGCCTCAGGTCACTACTCAGAAAGAGCTGGGACCATGGTGGGTGTACTTGCTAGGAGCTTGGAGCCATGGACAAGTCACAGCTCTAGTCAGGGACCCTGGAAGAATCTCCCTTCTTCCATCTTCCACCTGTTGGTCAAAATCAGCTGTGATCTGGTCTACACAGGAGCCTTCAGGGACCAATCCCTGCCATGTAGGGGTCTGAGGCCAGCAGGCCTGGTCCAGCCAAAGAGACATTTAGAGCGAGTCTGGAAGTGCAGGTAGTTGACCAGACACCTCATGGGGCGAGGGTGGGTGTATCAGGCACAGAGAATGGGCTTAGGGTGTGTAGGGGTGAGTAGTGTGGATAAGGCTGGCAGGGAGGCCACACCCTTAAGCAGGAAGAGATTTGTGCTTTAGAACAGGGGTTGTCAAACAACTTTGTCACATGGTTTGCTTTGTTTTGTTTAAAAACAAGACATAAAAATGTAAAAAACATCTTGGCTCAAGGCCACACAATAAATAACAGGCCACAGGCGGCATTTGGTCCACAGGCTGTAGTTCACCAACCTGATTTTGAAAGACTCACTTTAGAAGGATGGATTGGAACACACAGGAGGCTGAGACAGGAGGCAGGGAGGCTGGAAAAGGGGCTGCCGGAGGCTCCGGGCAGGAGGGATGAGAGCCCAGTGAGGGGTTGTCACGGTGGAGAGAAGGGCATGAGTTGGGGATGGGGAATGATGGGACACAGAACGCAAAGTCTGAGCCTGGTCTGGAGGGACTTGCAGGCTGACACATTGAATATTCACCCATTAGCTTGGAGCCCTGCCTCCCTTGGCTCAGGGAGCCAGAGGGAAACCCTGGATAATGAACTTCCCTATGGCACCCCTCCCTTCCCACGCCTCTCTTGGGTGGAACAGGTAGGGGAGCAGGTTGTGCTGCCTCCCAGTAAAGGAGGAGTCAGGGTGCCCAGCTGTTGGTGACTCACTTGCTGCTCCTTCTAGAACATGGATACCAAGCATCTCCAGTCCTCAGTTTCAGATCTTGGCTGCCATTCCAGGACAACTGGGAAAGTCCTACGAATGTCCTCTGGCACCTTCCTGCGGGGTTAGGTCCAGATTAGAGATGAGGGTGAGGAAGCTCCTTGCTCTGCCCTGGGCTCAGACACCTGGTAGCTTCTACTATCACCTTGATCACATATAGGCTAATGTGTCGCACACAGGGCTGGGGATAGTTTCTAAGTTTGGGCTCCCAGAGAAGCAGACCCTGAGACAAGGATTTGGGTGCAAGTAGTTCTATGAAACAGGCAGGGAAGACAGCCCATACAGGGGGCACTATCAGGCCAGTTACCCTTGTGGGCACCTGGAGCTTAGTCCTGCTGGGGACACTGGGCATCAGAGTAGAACACGTGCTCCACAGTTATGCTAAGAAGCAAGGGCGCTGGGGTATTTATCCATCAACTCCTGTGAGATGGAAGGCTCCTCCAAGGGCTGTTAATTCTCTGGCACTTTCAGCCTGCTGCCTGGCCTTCTGCAGTTCAGGAAGGAAAGCTCTCAGGTGCAGACATGCAGATGCACAGGTGGAAGGCAGCCGGAGCTCCCTGAAGAGGTGAGGCCCCAAGGAGATGGGCAGGATGCCTATAGAACCCACCATAGATGGTTATCACCTGCACTTGATAGATGGGGAAACTGAGAAGCGAAGGGACAGCCCCAAATCATATGGCAAGTTTGTGACAAATGGGGGGCTGGAGCTCAGAACTTGTGGGTCCAGTGTCTCCCACTATTTTTAGCCCTGCTGTTATGGGTCTCCTGGGTAAGAGAGGACCTGCCCTAGGTGGCCCATGGGCTGACTCCAGTTGCCCCACCTGGTTGCCTGCTGCATTCTTCTCCTGAGGACTCCCCACTTCCTGGGTTACCCAGAGCCCAGAGGCCAGAGCCATACCTGGGGGAAGGGAAGTCTGCAGGACATGCACGTGTGGCAAGGCCTGGATTCCTTACCAAGTGCCTGCATGAGGCTCACAGAGCCTGGGGTGCAGGGTGAGCAGGAGACAGAGTGGGGCTAGGAGCTGGCAGGTGGTCAACTGCTCAAGCTGTGGCGGGGGTGGGGGGTGGGGGAGGTAGGGTGAGCAGGGGCAGAGACAGAACAGGACAGAGTCAGCACGGAGGGCTCACAAGAGGACAGCAAGGTGGGCTGGGCAGCTACCCTGCCCCTTGTCCTGGTTACTTGGGACCTGGGACCCTTTGTGTAGCTGGGTGCAGATGTCCCAGGCCTCAGCACTGAGGCCTGTGTGTGTTCAGAACTGAGCATGAGCCGAGCTCTCAGTTGTTTGTTCATCTAGGAATGACTTCCGGGGACCCAATGTGTCCCAGCTGTTGTGCCAACCATCTTTAGGGACACCTGGGGAATCAGACTACTGGCTGCTCTCAGAACCTGTTGGGTTCTGTAGAGGGAATAAGGCAGCTTCCTACATTCTACATCGGGTCCTGAGTTGGATGGTGGAAGACAGCACAGCCCTTGGGGAGGGTGGGAAACAGTTTTGTGCCCAGTCTTTGATGCCTGAGAGGGGCTGGGGGTGGCTGGAAACTCCACCTGATTGGCCCAGCAGAACCTCAGGGCTTGAGGGTGGATACCAAGGGCTGCAGGGGCCAGCCCCTGTCACTCCCACCCCATTCTTAACCCCAGCCTGTGGTGGCTCATTAGCAAAGATGACTGCATCGGTCCCCTCCTTGTGACCTCACCCTTTACAAAGTGTCTTTGTCATTCCTCCCATCCGGAGGTGGGGTCAATTCCCTACCCCTTGAATCTGGGCTGGTGTATTAGTCAGGGTTCTCTGGAGAAACAGAACCGACAGGATGTATATATATACAGAGAGAGTGATTTATTTTAAGAAATTAGCTCACGTAATCGTGGAGGCTTGGCAAGTCCAAAATTCGTAGCATAGGCTGGCAGGCTGGAGACCCAGGGAAGAGTTTCAGTCTGAATTCAGTCTGCTGGAGGACCCCGTCTTGCTGAAGGGGGTCAGTCTTTGCTCTGTGCAGGCCTTCAACTGACTGGGTGAGGCCCAGCCACTTTATAGAGGGTCATCTGCTTCACTCAAAGTCCACTGATTTAAATGTTAACCTCATCCAAAAGATACCTTCACGGAAATATAATATAAATATAAATAATATTGGACCAAATGCCTGGGCACTGTGGTCCAGCTAAGTTGACACAAAATTAACCATCACAGCTGGCCTGTCACTTGCTTTGGGCCATAGAATGGGGTGAAAGTGATGCCATGAGCCCCCAAGAAGCCTTGGTCAGTTCCACTTGGTCTCTTGGAATTCTGTCCAGCCACCATGGGGACAATCTTGGGCTAGCTCCTGGAGGATGGGGAGCTCAGTGGGACAGAGATGAGATGTTCCAGCTGACTCTAGTCCCCGCCAAAGTGGCAGCTTACTGCATATACACAAGGGAGCACAGTGAGATCAAATCTCCTGGTAGAGCTCAGCCCAAACTGCTGACCTGCAGAGCTGTGAGCTAAATCAATAGCTGGTGTTTTAGGCCGCTGAGTTTTGGTCTGGTTTCTTACACAGCAAAGGCTAACTGATGCACAGCCCAACTTCTGCAGTGCCCCCAGAATAGGTATCCTATCGGCCTGCCACCTCAGCTATTGGAGAAGACACAGCACACAGAGGGGAAATTTCAGGTTCTCACAATGTATTGATGGCATGGGTGTAGACACTCTTCTACTTTGATGTTTCATTATCGTTTTGCTCAAGCACACTCTGGCCTGGCAGTCTCCCCCAGTAATATGCCAGAGCAGAGGTAGGCGGATGGCTGGCAACCAGCAAGGCTGCATACTGGGGGTGGACGGAAGCCGAGGGTGGCGTCCTGGAGACCACCTCTGTGGGCCTGGGAGAGTTTCAGGGATGGATCATAGGATGGAGGATGGGAAAAGAACTTGGGAGGCAACAAACCTGGGTCGACTTCTGCTTCTGTTGTTCATCGGGCCTGTGTCCTGGGACGAATAACTTCACCATTCAGAGCCTCAGATTTTCCAGGGGCAGAGTTAGGTTTTGTGGGGCCTGAAGCTGAAACAATTTGGGAGCCCTCTTTAAGCAAAAGAATAAAAACTGTGATTACAAAATTGCAGGGCTTTGAAAGGGGCCCTTGCAAGTGAGTTTAAGCTTCATTAGCTTTGCAGTAAATTGCTCCTGGCTTTCTCTCTAGCAAAACGGAGAGTAAATACTGATGGAGCAGGGTTGTTTAGAAGGTCAAATGAATGCACCATACATAGCAGGGGTCCTGTGGGTGGGACCTGGCAGGAAGGCAGCTTTGCAGGGGGGCAAGGGCTCACCCGGGAGATGGTGGGTGGGCTCCTGGTGAGGAGACAGGGTGCAGTGATAGGTGCAGTGGAGAAGGATGGTGGGGTGTCTGAGCTCCTACCTGCTCCCACGACTGCCCCTGATGCTTGCAGGGAGGGGTTGTGGGCAGAAGCAGGAGCTGATTTTGTGCAGGTCTTTGTGAGGTTCTGGGGCCGAAGCAAGGTTGTGGCAGGGTTCTGAGCACAAAATTGGGAAGAAGGGTATGTTTTCCTCCCTGGAGTGAGAAGCTGAAATGAAGATTCCTGAGCGATTGATTTATTGAGTGCATGCTCTTAGGGACATGTGAAATGGAGGGAAAGAAGCAGGCCAGGGCAGGGGGGGGATGCTGAGCAGGACGTGGTCTCAGCTAGGCTCTAGTTTCAGCCTTATCTATGGGAGCTCTGGCCCGTGGATGGACCATAAGAGCTGCTCCCCTCATGGAGACCAGACCATTGCACCTCTGTGTCAATCAGTTCTTGGGAGGCGGGTGGGGAGTGTGAGTGTAACCTCCCAGAGTCACTCATCAGCCAAAGGCAGGTCTCAGAACAGGGCAGGGCTTATGCACAGCCCAGGAGAGGGGCTGTGGGCAGGGTGACAACAGAATCCACTATAAGCGTCCTTCCCCCATTTCTGCAGGATACACAGTCCTACTACTGTCTAGGGTTGCTGACTTGGGGTGTGCAGGGAGATGATGAATGCATGGAATTCGGGAGGGACCACAGTGCTGGTCTTCAGAGCACTGTGACAGGGGCAGTGGTGAGGTGCTGCCCCCAAGTGGCTTCTAAGGACTTGGTTTTCTAGGAGGGGACCTGTGCTAAGCTAATGTGAGACATCCTAGGGACTTTCGGAAATAAATGGGACAAGTTGAGGGGCACTGGAGCACCTGTTGTCTGCCAGTAGGGGCAAAAGCCCATGAAGTGTGTATTTTTCCTGTTACTACAACCTCATTTGTGTCCATGGGACAGTGAGGCCGGGAGGAGCTCAGCGCACACATGGGAAATGGCTTCGTCAACTCTAAAGCGTGGAACGATTTCCAAGGCCACGTACCTGATCAGCTGGGAAGCAGTTCCCCACCCTGTGGGGACCAGAGACTCACTCTAACCCTAGCATGGCCCACTGGTTGGTTCATAAAGAAGGGGAGCCAGGCAGGAGGGCATGGCAGTTCCGTACAACTGGGTTCTGCAGTCTATCATGTCCTATAACCAAAGGCAGCGTTACTTGTCTTTGGTGAGATGGGTCATAGAAAAAAAGCAACTAGAACTTGCCTGTGGTATAGGTGTGAAATGCCACAAGGAAGAGGGAGTCATTGGGGCCATCTTGGAGGTTGGTGGCCACAGGGGTTAATGCAGCCATGCCTCCTTCATTTTGCACACATGCACAAACACACACACACACACACACGCACGCACGCACGCACACGCACACACACACACTTGGAACCTTGAAGTTCTGGTGCATTGAGTCCTAAGTACCCCTGGGGGGATCCCTGTGGGGATTCTGGTTCCAGTGGAGTCCTAACAGCAGCAGCGACTACAAAAGACTGCAGCGCTCAACAAGAGGCTGTGCAGAGGAGCAGGGGGAGAGACTGACTAACCTCGATGAGGGGATCTCCCTTGATGGCGAGGTCTCCATTTTTATATACCCTAGTACAAGGGGCCAGGACCCTCAAGGCAGCCCCTCAGCTAGTGCGTCAAGATCCAAATGTAAAGTAGTTGCAGAAACATTCTGATGAAGAGGCATCTCCAAGCCTGAGGATTTGTCTTTTCTTCATCCTGGAGGCTCCCAGGCGGGGCAGGCAATGCATGAGGGGTCTCCCCTGCGCTATGAGGCCAGGGCTATGACAGTTGCCAAAGTGTGGTCACATGAGTCCTCTCTTGCCTTCCAGGTCAGGGAGCAGGACTCGCCCTGCACTGGGTATGTGCTTTATAAATAGGTCACTCCAACGGAGCTTGCGGGGAGTTTTGATTGCTGAGAGTATAGGTCCTCAGACCCCAATCCTTCTCCTCCTACCCCATCAGCTCAGCTTCAAGTCTTGGAGCCTTGTGGGGGTGGGAGTGTACCCCCTTCCCATCTCTCTGGGCTGTGCTTGGGGATTGAGGCAGGGAGGCAGGACATATCCTGCAGCCCTTGAAGGCTGCCTGTACTTCCATAAAGGGATTTTGGACCCGGTGCAAATGGATTTGGAATGAATACAGAAACTCAGGGACCTCCCTTCTTTCTCATCACCAAAGTCCTCCTTTGTGAGTGGGACAAGTGAAGAGATGAGAATGGAATGTGAAAGAGAGGCGCTTGCCCTTTAAAGGGGAAGCCAGGCTTGCAGTGCAGTGCAAATTGCATGCAAATGGATCTGCAAAAGCCGGCTTGGGACCCAGGGGCAGCGGACTTGGACGAACCAAAGGGTTTTCCTGCCAGTTTGCCCAGCCCTGAGTCATGGTTCCCTGCTGGATGTGAGAAGAGGAGCTACAGCTCCAGAATATCTATAGAGGTGCTGGGGAGGGGGAGCGCAATCTGGCTGGGAAGGTGGGAGGCTGTGCAGAGTCACCCAACTGCCTGGGCGCCGCACGCTTCTTGTTGATTGTACATTTATTGGAGGATGGCATTGACTCAGTTTTCTCTCTCATCTGTTAATGTGACAGCTGGAATCTATGTGGCTTTAACAAGCCCCCTATCTATGCAATTCTTTGACTACCTCTTTCTGACTTGATCATCTGTTCTGGATTTTTTTTTTTTTTGAGTCTCACTCATTGCCTGGGCTACACAATGCAGTGGCATCATCATAGCTCACTGCAACCTTAAATTCTTGGACTCAGATAATTTTTTCTGTTTTTAGTAGAGATGGGTCTTGTTTTTACTCAGGCTGGTCTGGAACTCCTGAGCTCCAGTGATCCTCCTGCCTTGGCCTCTTGGAGTGCTAGGATTACAGGTGTGAGTTTACCTTTGTGCTCCCCATGCAAGCTGTGTCTAAGTCCTGAGTCCTCTGGTCGCAAAGCTCTCGTATGACACCTTGATTATTTCAAGGGCCCTTAACTGGTCTTCCCTCTCTTGCTACCTTCCCACCTCTCTGTCCACAGCTCCTCCAGTCTGCACTCAGAAGTCAGGGCTATTTGTGTCAGGTTATCCATTCCGATGCAATAATCTAGCCGTGTGACACTGGGAAATTTGCTGCCCCCTCTGAGCCTTAGTTCCCCACCCCTGTATTGCTCAAAGTGGGTCTAGACACTTGCCAAAGGCCAGCACAGATCGGTTTCTGGGGTGTCATAGCCCCAAGGGGCTGGCTATGTTCTGGATAAATACCCCACAGTGGGGTGGGGGACCCCCTAGGATCCAGGAACCACCGTGCAAGCAGTTCCCCCAGTCATGCTCCTCCTCGGAGCTTTCTGCTTCCAGGTGTCTGCAGCCTGCCTGGCACTCCCTGTCACCAAGAAGGAAGATGTGTTTGCAAGCCACAGCTGAAACGCATGTCTTTTCTGGTGCCTCTCCCCTTCTCCCCACATGAATTCCAATTTATTGATTTGTGTGGGTTATGATTTTGGTGTCATGTCTAAGAACTCTTCACTACACCCTGGGCCCTGATGATTTTCTCCTACATTTTCTTTTAAATGTTTTATAGTTTTAGGTTTTACACTAAAATCTATGATCCATTTTGAGTTATTTGTATAAAGTGTGAGGTGTGGGTCTAGGTTCATGTTTTTGCTTATGGGTATCCATTTGCCCCAGCACCATTTGTTGAAAAGACTATTCTTCCTCCGCTGAATAGTTTTTGCACTTCTGTCAGGTATCAGTTGCCTATGCTTGTATGGGGCTATTTATGGGTTCTTTATTTTGTTCCATTGATCTATGTGTCTAGCCCTTTACCAATAACACACTGTCTTGATTACTGTGGCTATATAATAGGCCTTAATATTGAGTAGAGTGATTCCTCTCACTGTATTACTCTTTTTCAAAATCATTAGAGCCTTTTCATGTACATTTTATTTATTTAGAGATAGGGTCTCACTCTGTCACCCAGACTGGAGTGCAGTGGCACAATCATACCTCACTGCAGCCTGAACTCCTGGGCTCAAGCGATCTTCTTGACTCAGTGCCTGAGTAGCTGGAACCATAGGTGCATGCCACCGTGCCTGGCTAATTTTCTATGTTTTTGTAGAGATAGGGTCTCCCTATGTTGCCCAGGCTGGTCTCAAACTCCTGGCTTCAAGCAGTCTTCCCACCTTGGCCTCCCAAACTGCTAGGATTACTGATGTGAGCCACCACACCCAGCCTCCACATAAATTTTTGCATAATCTATATCTATGTAAAAATATTGCTGGGATTTTGGTAGGAATTGTGTTAAACTTATATATCAATTTTGGGAGAATTGACTTCTTTTCTGTGTGAGTCTTCCAATTCATGAACACATTATGTCTTTCCATTTGTTTAAATTATCTTTGATTTCTTCTTTAATAGTGTTTTATAGTTTTCAGTATACAAGTCCCCTACATGTTTTGTTAAATTTGCACTTGAATATCTCACTTATTTTGAGCAATTGTAAATGGTATTTTATATTTTAAATTTGTTTTCCACGTGTTCATTGCTAGTATATAGAAATATAATTGATCTTTGTGTCCTGCAGCCTTGCTGAATTTGCTTATTAGTTCTAGATTATTCTGTAGATTCCTTGGGAGTTTTTACATAGACAATCATGTAATAATTAAACAGAGGACAGTTTTATTTTCTCTTTTCCAGTCTGTATATGTTTTATTTCCTTTCCTTGCCTTTTTGTGCTGTCTAGATCTTCTAGTGATATGTTGAATGGCAATAGTGAGAATAGGCATCCTTGCTCTATTCTTGATCTTAGCAGAAACACATTGTCTTTCACCATTAAATATCAACTAGTTGTAGGCTTTTTGTAGCTATTCTTTATCAAGTTGAAGAAATTCCCTCCAAAGATTAGTAATAGAATTTCTTCAACTTAATAGATGTTGGGTTTTGTCAAATGCCTTGTCTGCATTAATTGATATGATTTTTCTTCTTTAACCTAGTGATATGATGAATTACACTGATTGATTTTCAAACACTGAACCAGCCATTCATACCTGTGATAAACTCTGCTTGGTCATGGTATATATACATAGGGTATATATATCTTTTTATATATTGCTGAATTCCATTTGTTAAGGATATTTCCATCCATATTTATGAGGGATATTGGTCTATAGTTTCTTTTTTTTTTTTTTTTTTTTGAGACAGAGTCAGTGTCTCTTGGCTCATACAGATATAACTTGCAGCAACCTCAAACTCCTGGGCTCAAGCAATCCTCCTGCCTCAGCCTCCCGAGTAGCTGGGACTACAGGCATGCACCACCATGCCCGGCTAATTTTTTCTATATATATTAGTTGGCCAATTAATTTTTCTATTTATAGTAGAGACAGGGTCTCGCTCTTGCTCAGGTTGGTTTCGAACTCCTGAACTCAAACGATCCACCCGGCTCGGCCTCCCAGAGTACTAGGATTACAGGCGTGAGCCACTGCGCCCGGCCTATAGTTTCTTTTTAATGCTGTCTTTGTCCGGTTTGGTATTAGAGTAAAATTGGCTCCATAAAATGAATTAGGAAACATTCTTTCCTTTTATATTTTCTGGAAGAGATTGTGTAGAACAAGTGTTAATTCTCCTTTAAATATTTGAGAGAATTCTCCAGTGAAATCATTGGACCTGGAGATGTTTGTTTTTTTTGAGTTTTAAAATTATGAATTCAATTTCCTTAATAGTTAAAGGGCCACTCAAATTATTCATTTCATATTGGGTGAATTGGTTTCTGATGAGAAATCTGATGTCATTACAATAGTTTTTCTCCTGTAGGTAATGTGTCATTTCTCTCTGTTTGCTTTCAAGTTTTTTTTCTTTGCCTTTAGTTTTTAGAAGATTGGCTATGATGTGTCTTGATTTGGATTTCTTTGGGTTTATTCTGTTTGAGGTTTACTCTGCTTCTCAAATCTGTAGGTTCAAGTCTTTTACCAAATTTGGAAATTTTTTAGCCATTATTTCTTCAAATATTTTTTCAGACATGCCCTCTTTATTCTCTCCACCTGGGACTCCAATGACACAAATGCTAGATCTTTTGTTATAATCCTACAGGTCCCTCAGTTTCTGATTTTTTTTCAATTTTTTTTAGTATATTTTCTTTCTCTTGCTCAGATTGGGTAGTTTTATTCTATTTTCAAGTTCTTTATTTCTTTTCTCTGTCATCTCTATTCTGCTATTTGGCCCATCCACTGAATTTTTAAATTTCAGTTATAATATTTTTGGTTCCAAAATTTTCATTTGGATCTTTTTTATGTCATCTGTTTCTTTGCTGAGACCTGAGACTTTCTGTTTCTTTGCTGAGACTTTCTACTCTTTGGTTTGTTTCAAGTGTGTTTGTAATTGCTTGTTGAAGCATTTTTATGATGGTGCTTGGAAATTCTGGTCAAACAACGCTAACATCAATGTCAGCATCTGTTGATTGTCTTTTCTCATTCAAGTTGAGCTTTTCCTAGTTCTTGGTTTGACGAGTCATTTCCAACTGAAAGCTGAAACATTTTATGAGACCTTGGAACTTATATAAGTCTGTTTTAGCAGATCTCCTCTGACATGCTCCAGTAGGAGAAGGAGTTGCTGCTTTGTTACTACCAGGTGGGATGGAAATCTGGGTGCCCTACTCTGCCTCTGCTGACACTCAGGTTGGGGGCAGGAGTGCCTCATCACCACTGGGCAGGGGACAGGTGTGCAGGCTCCCTCCTAGATCTCCACTGACACCATTCTGGCTGGTAGGGACAGGGTTGCCTTGTCACTGCTTCACATGTGGCCTCTGCTGACGTTAGAGGGAAGCGGGCAGCCTTGTTGCCACTGGGCAGTGGTGAAAGTCCTGGTGTCCACTAGGCCTCCTCTGACCACCCCAGCAGAAAGGGGGAGGGGCACGTTGTTCCCACGAGATACGGGTGAAAGTTAGGTTTCCCTGGTGGTCTCCATTGACATCTCTGGCAGAGGAGATTTCACTGCTGCCCAGTGGGATGAAAGTCCTAGCTTCCCACCCAGCTTTTTCTGACACCAGCCTGTTCAGGGGGAAGGAGGTCAAAGCCATATCACAGCCTGGCCAAGGCAGAAATAAGGCTCCCCGCTCTGCCTTTGATGTTGTGGGTGGGGGTGGGGCCACATTTCTTGTTTTTGTTTTTACCTGCAGAGTTTGCCTGGAGTAGGACAGTTATTGTCTGTCATTCTAGGCTGCCCTATCTTGGTCCTTCGGCTGGAGATAGCAGACTTTTCTTGAACTTTTGTGTGTGTGTTTCCACTGGTGTTTCCAGATGGCTGCCTTCCCTGGCACCCTGTCCAAGATATTAAGGCAAAAAGATAAACCCAGAGGACTCACTGCTGTGTCATTCCTCAGGTCCCCAAATCCCTAGCTTGTCTGCCTTCTTCTCTCCACTTTTAGGTGTTTGTTTTATATGTAGTGTAGGGTTTTTTGGTTTTTTTTTGAGACAGAGTCTCGCTTTGTTGCCCAGGCTAGAGTGAGTGCTGTGGCGTCAGCCTAGCTCACAGCAACCTCAAACTCCTGGGCTCAAGCAATCCTCCTGCCTCAGCCTCCCAAGTAGCTGGGGCTACAGGCATGTGCCACCACGCCTGGCTAATTTTTTCTATATATATTAGTTGGCCAATTAATTTCTTTCTATTTATGGTAGAGATGGGGTCTCGCTCTTGCTCAGGCTGGTTTTGAACTCCTGACCTCGAGCAATCCGCCCGCCTCAGCCTCCCAGAGTGCTAGGATTACAGGCGTGAGCCACCGCACCCGGCCTTGCAGGGTTTTTTTAAAGCTGTACTTAGTGGGAAGAATAGGAAAAAGTATGTCTACTCCATATTTCTGGGAGTTGAAGTCTCATGTGTTGATTTCACCATGTCACTGATGCCTTTAGCTCTATCTGCCATATAGCAGGCGTCTTCTAGGTCCGTCATTGGGACCAGGCTCTGGGTTGAGGCCAAAGAGGAGGCACAGACTGACCTTGTCCTTGAGGCACAGACTGCCAGGACACACGACCTTGCCTCAGATAAGCTCAGATAGTGGAGGACAGGAAGCCGTAAAGGGA